CAGAATTTCTTCAAATAACTAACAGATATTATTTGAAGCTCTTGATGAATCAATTAATCTGCATATGTCTTATGCGATTTGTCATTCATTTCAAGCTATAAATCTATCCTTGTGATGATTAGAATTTAATTCAGAACTTCTACCCAAACAGCACCTACATCCCTAGCCACAAATACCTTTGAGGTTTTGGACATTTTCCTTTATTTTTTCTCCTCTGTATGTTTCAGTGATCACACCAGTTTTTTAGCAGTGACAATAAGTCAGTATTGATTTATTTGTCCGATGAATATTGGTAAAACATTTGGCTGGTTATTGCTTATAGCCGCAGCTCAAAGTTTAGGCACTTCAGTAAGAGGATGTCGACCTGGCTTAGCACGTGCAATCTAACTTGGGTAACCAGATCACTCCTACTATTTATCTGGTATACTGTTCGTTACCCTAGGAGTATATATCAATCATTATGCTTTTAATAAGTAACGCAAAGCTTAATTTTAATTTAACTTGTGGATTTGCAGTTGGTTGGCAAGTAGGCATACTGATAAAACAAGGGTGTACAGGATTACGAACATTATCTACAGCATCCGCAGTCTTCAATGGTCTGATATGCATGCCAATGCTTAGAAAATGTGTACGTGCGCCAGGTGATTTAGCGGCTTTTGTCGCACTATGGACAATATCTTTTGCACCTATTCCACTCGCGTATCATGCAGCACTTAGAATTATGCAGGTAAACTTTATTCTCCTTATCGTGTTATTACTATTATATTTATTATATTATTGTTCCCTTGCTTCTGCTGTACTTTTTTACTGCATCCATGTTAGTCCATACTCTTTCAACTCCTCTTCACACAATCTCCTCCATGTCACCCTTGCACTGACGTCCCACTCACCGCTTCCCTTTCGGCCTCGTTCCACTCGAGCAATTGCCTGACGAGCGCGCGATGTCACTCAGCGGCCTCCTCAGGTAGTGTCCAATTCATCCCAATCCACTTTCTCCTACATATTTGTTGGTTGGCAATTGGTTCTTGTTTTGTTTGTTCCCATAGTTCCTTCTTGGTGATTCTTTCCGAGCCGGCCATCTGATCTTCACTATAGGGCCAGCGAAGACAGTTGTTGATAAAGGTCTGCAACAGGCTGTTGCAAATATTCTTTGTGACTCGCCCGCCAAGTTTCTGATCCGTATAGAAGAGCTGACTGACTTGACGTTTGTATTGAAAATCCGACCGAATTTTGTTGTTGATGCTGAGTGACAGCGGAAGATTTCCAGATTGATTTCAGGTTTATGAATGTGTTTCTCGCCTGCCTTCCCGATTCTCGCTCGATTTGACATCCTCGTCCGTTCTGACTGCCTGTAGTTGAGACAATGCTCCCTATATAAGTGAATGAAGTAACCTCTTTCAAATCGCTCCCGTTGATGGTAATTGGCGCTGGATGTTGCTACTGTTGTTGTTGTTGGTTATTTTCATAACCTCCGTCTTGTCTATGTTCACCTGGAGTCCTGTCTTCGCCGGTTGCTTCTTCTACCAGTTTGTCGGTTTTCGCTTGTAAGTCTTCGATTTTGTGTGACATCAATCATAAATCATCCACGAAATTCAGGTCTTCTAGATTCTTCACGTTAGTCCAGGATATCCCTGTCTTCTCGTCTCCCACTGTCTGACGCATAATCCACTTAGTTCACCACAATTAGGAATATTACTGGTGATAATGATATGAAGAGAATAGATACCAGTAATTGCTCTAATAAACTGGGAATAATGAATGACCCTGGAAGTATTGGGATAACAAATTCTCACTGTCTCCGAAGATCTATTCAGATTTTAGCCTTATTTTATCCCGCTTTCATTTCATTTACCATCACACTGAAATATGTTGTAGGTGAACACACTTAATGAGTGTTCCAAATATGCATATTATGATAAAGCTCCAACGATCCCACAATTGTAGAATGCCTGCCAACCACGCCGCATGTGATCCGGGGTCCGATCCTAGGCCGAAACACAACTTTCCCTCGCTAAGCCAGTAATAAGACTAGTAAAGAGGGAAGGTTGGGCATGAGGCTAGTAACCCTATCCCTTAAAACTAAATACCAATGCTATCGAAATTTCACGCCTTTAATTTGAAGCCCTATGTTCCACTGGGAACATGAAGGAATAAAACTAACTAACTCGCAAATACGACTCTATTTCTTTACTTTGCTCTGAGAAAACCACTTACTCAATTCTTTTCAAAGAAATAATCGATATATATATATATATATCTTCGGTGGAAAAGTTTCATGAAATGACTAGTAATGTTCATTGATTGTAACAAACTTCACTAGGAAATAGTTGTTTGAAACAGATTTGGCATATAATCGTCTTTTTACCGTCTTCACAGCGTTTTCTAACTGTAAGTCTGTCAATGAAGTTTCAGAAGGCTATAGACTAGGACACAGAGATCAGTTCCATGCGGTGATACCTCAACCAGCCGGTTTCGGTCGCTAAAATATTCGTCTAGAGAATCGAAGCCTTAAAATTAGACGCTGAACAAAGACAGTCACTTAATAGTACTGTTTGGACGAACTGCCGAACATCCAACACCTCCCTGAATGCGATATAGACACAGGTCCTCGATCCCTAACTAAGGTTATTAAAGTTGTCACTAATCTGAAACAAGGCAAAGCAGCAGGACCTGATGGAATGACTCCAGAGGTATTTAAGTACGGTGGAGACAGTTTACTGTCTGCATTAACTGAGGTACTAGGTAGCGTCTGGGAATCAGAGGAAGTCCCGTTGGGTTGGTGTAAGTCACTAATCATCCCGATATACAAGAAGGGAGACAAGTCTTCCTGTGATAATCACAAAGGGATTAGCTTGACTAATATAGTATCTGAAGTCCTAGGCTCAATAATCATGCGTAGACTAAGTGGTGCTCGGGAGGTACAAACACGAGGAAACCAGGTAGGCTTTAAACCAGGAAGAGAGTGTATTGATCATATCTTCACCCTTCGACAGATTCTAGAACATAGGCATTCTTACCGGCGTCCAACAATCATTATATTTCTTGACCTGAAAGCGGGATTCGATTCTGTCGACCGAGAGGTTATCTGGCGATGCTTAGCTGTAAAGAGAATGACGAGAAAATACATTGCACTGAATAAGGCACACTACTCGTATTCATGCAGTCAGTCAGTTGAGAGCTTACGCCAAGTTGTCATCTGAACTGGTGACGACTAGTGGTGTCCGTCAAGGATGCCCATTATCCCCATTTCTATTCAATTTCATCATAGATGTACTAATGGACTTAACACTAACTCACTTCACCGACTCAGGGATTGACTTGCTACCAGGGTGGGAATAATCTCGTTGACTTAGAATATGCAGACGATAAAGTCCTTCTAGGCGAGGACGCTGAAAAAATGCAGAGTCTTATGAACACCTTGAGCTGAGCTGCAATCTACGAATGTTTGTCAAGCGATTCGCTTCCGCCAAATGCGAGATGATGTTACAGGACTGGACTACACCGACTCCTGGATTAGAAATAGGGAGTGAAGTGGTAGAGCATGTTGACCGCTTCACTTATTTGGGAAGTACCATCAGCCGACGCCGATGGGTTGATCTCTGACGAAATCTCAGCACGGATACAGAGGGCTAGTTTCGCATACGCCCGCCAGTTTACGCCGTCTCTGGCGTAGACGTGATATCTGCCTGGCCATCTACCAAAGGGCGGGTGTACTGCTCATCAATCCGCTCCGTCCTCCTTTATGGCTAGCTGTGAGACCTGGCCATTGAGAGTGGAAGACATGAAAAGGCTGACTAGCTGTCTTTGATCATCGGTGGTATAATAAGGTGAGCAATAGTGAGGTTAGGCGTCGAGTTCTAGGTAAGGAGGGGAAATTGACGAGGTTGTGAAGTTACATACCGATTGAGATGGTTAGGACATGTGTTACGTATTCCTAGTCATCGCCTTCCTCGACGGTCAATGTTAGCGGATATAGGGTCAGGCTGGAAAAAAGCTAGTGGTGGTCAAACCAAAACATGGCACCAGTCAATGAAATCCACAGCAGTTAGTCTAAGCCATGCAGGAAGGTGCAGACTTCCTGGATGGGGTCCTCGGGACGACTAAAACCAATGGTTGAAAACAATTGGTGATATGGCTCAAAATCGTTCTCAATGGTGCAGATGCATCCACTTCCTGTGACTTATGATTTCCAATCAAACTATATTGTTCTTCGTTATTACCATTCCTTTGTCCCACACCTCTGTTTACTGTCTCTATTATGCATTTCTTCTACTTTCTTTTGTGTGCTACAAGGAAGAAGTGTGGCGACTTGAACCGCCGCACATCGGTGCAAAGTTCTATGTCGAAAACAGAGAGACAGACGACCTAATGCAGCACTATGGAATTCAAAGACGGAAATATATGACACCATGTGTTAGGCAGGCTCTCGAGTGGAAACTGACTGGGGAACAACGAGGTAGTTGTGGCTCCTAGTGTGATATGGGGAAGACATCATGTGAGCATGAGTAGATAAGAATTTATGGAAAATCACCGAGCCAACTACGGAGGACTACAGAGAACAGAGTGAAGTACAGATATGTCGCCGATAAATATCTGCGCTCCACTCGAAACCCTATGGAATTTATCTTTTTATTCCTTTACGTTCCCAGTGGAGCATAGGACTTCAAGCTAGAGGCTTGAAGTTTCGGTAGCAGTGGTGTTTATTACTTTTAAGGGGGAGGGGTGGAGTTACTAGCCTCTTATTACACTGGCTTAGAGAGGAAAAGGAGGAGTGCATCGGTGGCCAGGGATCGAACCCCGAACCACTAAGGCGTATTTGGCGAGCATTCTACCACTGTGCCACCGGTGCACGAGTCCTATGGAATACACAGACAGACATCCACAGTATAAAACATCGACACACATCACATCTTATCACACAAAAACTGAAAATAAAACAACAGAGTGTGAATACAGTAATAGTAGTAGTAAAAGTAGTAATTGATAAATATTTTATGTAAAAAATAAATCAAATTCATCTGATTTTACACACTTTTTTATATCATTACAAAGAGATTAGATTACGTAAGACGTAGTAATAATAGTCATAGTAGTAAGCAATAAAAGATGTGCCTTTTGCATAATACAGCCTGTTTTATGAGTCACTCACACTCACTCCACTCACATATACATAATAATACTACTACTAATAATAATAGTAAGATATGGAAGGAAGATTACATTACAATGAATGATTCAAGGAGACAGAGGGCAAGAGGGAGAGAGAGCACACAGAACGTTAATGTCCACCATATCATTGAGAAGATTAACAGGAGGAAGAGGAATACGTATTAATGGTAATAATAATAATAATAATGGTAATAATACTTATTCATAAACAAATGCCACACATACACCTTTTTAACTTCAAGTAATAATAATGAATAAATGAATGATTGACTCATAGACTGAACGATTTGATAAACGAAATCCTAAAGTTAACACAAATGAAGAGTGAAGATTAAATTTCACACTCTCACGGAGACAGAGAAAACAAAACTGAAGAGAACACTGCCCACTCATTGTTATTACATAACTAGACAGAATTTTTCAGTCATTAATAATCTTCTCTTTCTTATTGTAAATATAAAGCAATAACAAATGCGAATAGGAAAAAAAAAGACCAAATGTTTGTATGTGTGTGTGTGTATGTGTGAGCATGTGTGTACATAAATGTCCACACACAATACAACATAAGACAATGAAAACAAAAACTGTACTAAACAAAGTGGTTGTACAAAAGGAACTGGAAGAGGAGGGGTCGACGAAAGAGTGAGACAGGATGGAGATCTGAAGAAATTGACAAAGATTACAATGATAACAAAAATCAGTACAACATGATGACCATTAACCAACTGACTAACTAACTATGCCTCATTAATGAAGGCAACTACCTCTACGGTTTCTGAAAAATCACAAAGGATATCGAAAACAAAATGTATACAGAAGTCATACAGTAGTGTGTGTGTATATATATATATATAGACGATGAAAGTTCACAAAACAGAAGACAAACCATTCAGGGTAAGAAGGAGAAGGATGAAGAGGAGGAGAGGGAGAACCGCTCGTGAAAGGACCTCCCACAGAAACAACATATATATATATATATAATAATACATCACAAGAGATAAATAAATACACACATAACCGAACACTGTTAAACAAAACACTACTCTACAGGTAGAATTAGATGAAAGATAATGCATCATTCGGGCGGAGGGGGGCGGGCACGGAACAATAATTCTGATTTTCACTCCACCAAAATTCTGCTATCTCTTCTAAGTATGCGAAAAGGGAAGAAAAAAGAGGATATCTATACGGGAATAAAAATATGCTCCATAGACTTGACAAGATCAAGACACGAAACAAGGAGGGAAAAACCCAATGTCTAATCTATTTATCCATGTAAGTAAGTATCCACCTATCCAGAATGCTAATTAGTAGAAAATAGAAGGAACAGCAAGTGTCGTTATTACGTAACAGTACTAGTGGTAGTTCTTGTTGTTATCATAACGGCAAGATAAGAAATAAGAAGCGAAAACACAATTTCCTCATAGTAAATAACTGTAAATAAATAAATAAATATATATAAAAAGATAATCACATAATCAAAACAAAAGAAGGTTTTGATAACTAAAATTACAATTTTATGATTGATTGCTGGCAGCTGGCTAGATAATAGAGATCCACGGATAACAAGAATAACCAACATGAAAAAATAGGGAGTAAGGAAATTTGAGACTTGTTGAAAAAATATACGGTGAAGGGAGACGGGGGGTGGGAGGTCGACAGTCCTACGAATAAATATATCACAAGAATAAAGATATTTGTATATAAATATATATGAAGTAATGCGTTTCCAGTGCATATTTGTTTTAAGCGCATCACTAATTTTCTAGTCTTCTCTCTGTTCTTGATGGCGGTAGCAGGTAGGAGGAGAGTACAGTGGGACAAAAAGCCATTTTATAAAATGTTAGAAATCACAATACGCTTATCATAAATAAGTAAATAAGTAATCATAATAGTAAATGAGCAAATATTTCACTATGTTGTTGTATACATACATATATATATATATATAAGCAGCTTTGTTCATGAGTGAGTCAAAATCTCAAAGGTGAAGAAATTGTAGCGTAAATATTATAGTGAATTTATGATGGTATGTCGAATAACAGAAGAGAGAGGGGGACGGCAGGGACGGAGAATAGTATCATTCGGTTTCAATTTGACGATTGAATTGTTACCAATTTTTTATTGAGAGATTTTGAGACTGGTTTCGGTTCTGGCATTAGTATTTCTGTTGGCTTCATGATAATATTCGATCTAGGTGTAGACGGTATCCGACGTACATAATCATTTACAGGCTGAATATGAACGGATGAATCAATGAATAAAATATTTAACGGGGAAGGCAATTAAATAATAATTATTGACAAGAAATACATATAAATAAATAAATATAAGAGGGCGATTCAACTTTTACTTTGATGAATTCATCCAGGCATTGAGAGATGCATACAAAACATGTCCCAACGGATAGCCGATACCTCTTAACTTGGTGGTCGGAGCTTGTATAGACTGTTATGACCTAACATGGGTAAATTTGTTGGAACAGGGTTCTCCCAGGTAAAATGCCAATCTAAAAAAGGTTGCTTGGAGAGTGAGTGATTAAACTGTTGTGGGGTGAACAGTAGGGTGACAACAGTCATTTAGTTTAGTTAAAAAAAAATCACTCCCAAAAGTTTTATATCCCGACTTATTATTCTGGAAAGGTTTTATAGCCCATGGTAAAGTCTTCTCAAAAACGTATGTCTAGAAACTAACTTGTCAAGTGACTTGTCTCATAGACTGCTTTTGGACGGTCATGAAACACTATACCCTTTCCGATTTCATTTACTGAAAGAAGAAACCGAACTACAACAGGGTGTGTGCAGGCCTGGAAGTAATAAACGCTTATAAACACACACATCAACTGCCGTCATATTGGTGTAGTTTAACTGTCATGCAAATCACTTGTAAAAAAAATTATCAAAGCAGACTGGCTGCCATAGAGTTGTGTACTTATTTGTCAGCTTACACAAAAATTTAGATTATGTCATAGATGTATTGTGACAAATTCTATTCGAGGCATTTACTTTTTCCATGAAGAGACTTAGTATATAAGGCTATATTTGTATCACAGACAGTTTATCAAATGTTCGTTTGAGGCATTCGATTGGTAACAGGATTTCATTATGAGCTAACATCGGTTAGAGAAGCATTGGAAAACTTGGGAGTACTGGAAAGCTGTTTCACCAGCCTAGTTTGCGACTCTTCAGAAGTACGCACTCACCACAGGGGTTAAAAGCTAGGACCTTTCGGTTACAAGGCGAGTTCGTAAACCAGTGGGGTACAACAGGTCGGGTGTGAGTAAAAATACACGCCATGGATGACATTGGCTAGTGCCAGTCGCGCTATATCGTCAATTGGCAGGAGTTGGAATTAATGTGCTGGTTAGGATCGCACCCCAGTGACCTTGTAACCATAAAGTCTTGGGTTCGAGCCTACTGTGGTAAGTGCCTAGTGATGAGGAGTCCAAGACTAGGCTGATGAAACAGCTGTCCAGTGCACCCAGGTTTTCCAATGCTTTTCCAACCGATTTCAGCTCATGATGAAGTCCTGTAAACAGTCAGTGTTAGTGTGAGGGCAGGTGGCTGCCATAAGGGACCACAACCCACGAGCCTTTCACTTGGCCTCTCATCCTCAAGGCAGCGAAGCAGCATCAGTAGCTATGTTCCCATAGTTGCTGGTGACCAATACAGGTTGATATGCCATTTGATCCGATCGGACTCTAGAGTCTGTGTACACCGTAGTGACTGCTTTTAGTTCAACCGCTATACAAACAATCTTCCTAACATGGTAAAACCTGCAGGAACACAATTCTCAGTTAGCGTTGGGTCACTGCAGTATGCGAACCAGATCACAGTGTCAAGGTAGCACTTATTGACTGGGTAGTAATAATGTAGTATACAATCTATTTGAAATATAATAGATGAGGTTAATGAAGCATTCTTGTGTATTGTATCTTCACAGAACATGAAATGACGCTTTAAAAACGTAACTATAAAATGTGTTGCATTAAAAATGACAACTAGAGAAGTATGAATGTTCATAAGCGTTTTATGACAAAGGTGTTTTACAGATGATAAGTTTACAACAAGTTCATTAATTTTAATTTAGACTTCGTCACGAATCAATATAACTAATAGAAACTAGCCTCCGCTGAACAACTTTTACTTTTCAACAAAGGACTGAACCTGGCAATGGAGACGCTGATAGGTGAGAGCATTAAGCTATGGTTTGCTAGCTGCTATGACAAATTCAATACTGAAAACACTAGCTCGACTATTATTATTATTATTATCTAACATTGACGAGCTCAGTCAAAAAATGTAAGAAAAAGCGTTGAGCTGTTAAGATCATCTTGAATTCTTTACTGTTGGTCGGTTGGTGGCAGAGTCTAGTTCTTGACTACTTATATCCCTCGCAGTTTTTTTTATTTCTTCACGTTCCCAGTGGAAGATAGGGCTTCAAGCTAGAGGCTTGAAGTTACTATAGTAGTGGTGTATAATTTTACCGGATGGGTTGCTAGCCTCATGCCCAAACTTTCCTCTTTGCTAGCTTTATTACTGGCTTACTGAGGTAAAGGAATGCGTCGGACGGGGATCGAATCTCGGACTATGTGCATGGTCGGCGAGCGTCCTAACCGCTGTGCTACCGACGCTATCTCTCGCAGTAGTTAACAGCAAATAGTAATATAGACTTAAGGAGTGATATAATTCAATAGTGTTGTGAGTATAAATCACAGATACCAACAACAATTGTCTTCCTTAAAAGCCTTATGCTACTTTATTTGATATTACGTGTTGAATTAGAGGATGGCTTGAAATTTCCACCTATCATATTCCTCGACGAAAATTAATAACCTAATTAATTGATTCCCTTCACTTACCGTATACTATGTGCTCAAGCTATGTCCCTATCATTGTCAACCTGGTACGTCCGCAAGTGGGTAAACTTCAGCCCACCTCTCATAATTCTTTCATGTGACCACGCATTCATAGCCTCTATTCGGTAAGTCTTATTCGGACTGCTTCATGCGGCAGGGCTGTAACTCATAGAAGTGGAAGGCTGAATGAGGACGTCTGGTACTTACAATCGGACTGTTGGTTATGCAGGTGTGCCTATCTAGAGAAGCTGGTAAGCCATGATTCCAAACCTATATGGTGTATATGTGATCCAGAATCAGAAAGGATCTGGGTGTGTGGGTAGCATCCTAGCTCTCGTACAAACTATGATTTTACGTGGGGAATTTCTTGGTGCCCATAATGTCCCAAGTTCGTATCTCAGCATGGATAGCAATAATAATACTAATTACAGATTAATATAAGTAATTAGAGCATAGCTTCACACATTTAACAATTAGACATTCAATTGTTTACCTATTGTGAGTTTCATTCGATTACCACATGAATAAAGTCAGTAATATCAACTTCAAACAAAGTAGAATTGGTGATGTTCTGTAAGAAGGTATGAGAGTATATGATTCTCCAAACTTAGATGGTTGAGGGTGGATTATAGCCAAAACCCAGTGGTTGAGAGTCATGAGCCTACACTAGAGTAAGCTATCGCTTCTAATCATCGAAGGTGGTTTAGTGTTTCTAAAGAAATTAGGGTACGTTGTGATCTTCGTACTCATTATGAATCATATACACAACTATTAGAATAAAATGTAGAGAAAAGTGTTATGAAATACTGTCCAACCTTTAAAGCTGTCAATAAAGTGTCAATTTCCCTGAGTCGAATTCCATATAATCTCCATATATATATAAGAAAGATTAGTGTTGTCATTTTACCTACTCGTTCCCCAGTTCATTCTTCTGGGCGTTTCAGCCCTCGCGATTTTGTGTGACGCATCTGTTTGTGTCCATCATGCGCCATCTTTGTGCATCAATGGTTCAGTGGCAGAACACTCTCTTCAACCACACACACACACAGCTGGCCCAAGATTCGGTTGATCCCCAGCCAACAAACTTTTTTACCTCGCTAAGCCAGTAATAAGACTGGTAACGACGGGAAGATTGGATATGACGCAAGCAACCCGAATTCTCAAAGCTCTAGGCTGATGCCCCATTTTTGTCTTGGAAGTTTGGCTGATCTAATCAACCAAACATCTTATGCTGACACAATAAAGGAAATAATGAACGCAATTAGGAAAATAAATACCAATTAAAAGAATTTAACTGGTGGATGGTGACTAGCAGTGGAATCCAGGATAATGCGCATTTTGTCCTGTTTGGGACTCGTCAACCAGTGGATGTACCTGCATTTCCCAGTGATGATGTTCCCATTGAGGCTCGAATCCAGCGCTCATAGTTTCAAACGCCAAAGCATTATCCACTAAACCACTTGGGCCACGAGACTCGGGCCACCTCTTGTGTAACGGGTCATATTATTTTAATTTGAGATTTTCATATCGATTGATTGGACCGAATGGCTCGGTCTCAGGTTGATATGTTGGAATAAAGATGGATCGGACATACTCTAAGGTAACCTTTAAGCGGCAGTGTACACACGCCAGATCCTAAGGTTGAACACGAATGAGGAGCAATAGGCTGCGTATGTGACAGTGACATGCAGAAGATCATATGAGGCAGAGGGAAGTGAGGGCTTGTTGGCAGTTGTGCAGAGAGAGAGAGAGAATCGAGTGAAATGAAGACACATTACATTACACTACACTACACTAGTACTACTTACTTGCATAGATTCATAATAAGGTTTCTTAATAGTAATACCAGAACGATAACAACTTGGATCTCTTCTGCTGTTGTTGTTATTATTATTATTACTACTATTATTCTTTTTCGTATTGTCTAAATCATCTGATACACGGATAATTTGAACTCTTTTAGAATTTGGTGACAATGATGACGAAGAAGTGAATATAGTATTAGAATATTTAGTGTCTTGAGAACCAGTAGATAAATCTGGACTGACTGGTGAATGCACTGCTGTATTCATCCGTTGATTTCGGTTATTATGATTGGCTGCAACAACAGTGTTATTGCCAGCAATCCAAATTTCTGTTGTCAGCGGTAGTGGTAGTTGAGCTGATTTCTCATCGCTGAGTTTATTGATACCAGCATCATAAGAAGAGGTGATATTTTTGATAGTAGATGTACGTGATGATATAAGGATTGGTGATTTTGTTATCATATTCGACTGGTGATCATATTTCGACGGGGAAGCTTCACGTTTTTGCCAAGGTTGTTGTTGTTGTTGTTCAATACTGATTTCAGAACTGGTAGTTGAAGGTGGACGATTGGTTGTATCATATGATACAATTTGTTCACTTGTCCATCGACCTAGACGTGATGTTGCCATCTGTGGAGTTAGTGTTGCTGTTTTTGTTGTTGTTGGTGTTGTTATTAAGGTGCTAGGCAATTCAGGTCGTCTGGTTACCTTGTCATCATATGCTGTCAAAAAAAATAATTCAAAACAAACAATACATAAGTGAATAATACTTAATGTGAAGAAGAAATAGTTCATGCAGTAACATGTGAGAAGGATTTTTGATTAGACACTAGCAACTAGCGTAATGTGTCTAGTCGTATCGTCGGTCCATATTGAATTGTATCAGTCAGGTTTGCAATGTGGCCACCATTCTACGTAGCTCGCCATTACGGTGTACATTGATTTGATGATATAAATTGGTTGGAGGCAATCGACAGGAAGCCTTGGCTAAACATACGTTTCGTGTTACTCGGCACTCACCGGTCAATAAGGCGTATCTGCAACTGACTTCAAGGAACTCATGTCCCTTCTGAGATTCAAACCCCTGTCACTCAGTGCTGCAGTCAGAGACGTTACCACTGAGCTATTCGGATCGCGATTGACCTCTTGTAGGACTGTAGTGGGTATTTTGATTGGACACTAGTAACTAGTGTGATGTGTCTAGTCCTTCTAACACCTATCAATTCATGATAGAGCTATACCCTCCATCCAATGTTATAGGCTACTATCTGTCCTCATACCTCACATGGTGAGTCCAACCAGTTATATATAATATTTTCTAATAATACCGGACAATCTGTCTTCCAAGTTAGTCATTGATGAGAAGTTGATTAACTTTCAAGTATTGACTTGTAGGGGAATCGAATTGATTTCAGTGCTCTTCAGTTTGCAACAATTCTGAAACTGATATATCGATTCGTGAAAAATGTATCCTGAAAGCGATGAAAGTACTCCTCGCCCCCCCTCCTTACAATCAACACTTGCAAAAACAAAAATATACTTGACCAATCTTATTTTATAAGGCAACCACTTTTAAGATGTGTTACCCTCCCTAAGAACCAAAAATCCAACTTAAAAAAGGGGAAGGCTAGCAAACACAAGTAAATTTCAAGTTTAACCACGGATTAATATCAGTTATAGAACCCCTGAAAGCCAGCGCGAAGTATTGAACAGCTGTTTCGTCTGCCTAGTTTAGGACTCATGAGTAATACGTACCCACCGAGGTTTGAACCCAGAAGTTTTAGACAAGGTCGTAAATCCCCACATCACAAGCAGGATATGAACCTGCACGGGGAAACCCCATTGGATAATCTAGTTCAAGCTTGCCTTCTAACCGGAAAGTCCTGGGTTCAAACCCTGGAGGTGGGTGCGCGATGAGTCCCGAAATAAGCTGACGAAACAGTTGTCCAGTACTCCGTGCTGGTTTTCAATGATTATCTCTAACTGACAACAATCCATGATGACAAACTTGGAATAAATCGTATCCCTATAAACTAATCCCCGAAAACATGTGGATTTATTCACTTATTATTTGTTTACAGGTAGAATCTAAATTTAGCCTAAAGTTTATGTATATATGCCGATTAATTCATGGAATTCAAATAAAATTTACAGATAAATGATACTTTAATCCCCTCAAGCTAAGTGGGTTCACTTGAATATTCTGTATGACAATCGCTTTGAACTAGGCCATCTTCACGTTAATCGAATTGATAAAGTGAATAGATGGTTAGAGACAATTGGTAGGAAGCCCTCCCACCTAGGTTTCGTGCTAGTTGGCACTCACCAGTCAGCGAAACGTATCTGTAACCCTCAAGGAGCTCATGTCCCTCTGAGGTTCGAATCTGCATCACTCAGTACTGTAGTCAGTCAGAGGTGTTACCACTGATCTAATAGGGCTTCCGATCGACCTTCTATAGGACTGTATTGGATAGTCAGTAACTAGTGTAATGTGTCTGGTCCTACCTTTGGTGCAGACTCAATTCTATTAGTCAAATTTGCAAGGCACATATAACATTTAAAGTCTCATAGGAGGTCAATCACAAGCCCGAATAGGTCAGTGATAACGTCTCTGGCTGAATGCAGCATTGAGTGACGTAAGTTAGAATCTCAGGAGAGACATGAGTTCCTTCAACGTAGTTGCAGATGCATTTTGTCGACCCGTGAGTGCCAACAAGCACGAAACCTATGTTCAGTCAAGGCTTCCTCCTGTCGATTGCCTCCAACCATCTAATACCAACAATCCACAGTGCAGCATGAGGGCGAACCACCTAGTGGCATGGTGGCCACATTGTAGACTTGACTGATAGAATTCAGTCTGCACCAAAGACAGGATTAGACACATTACACTAGTTACTGACTAATGTCCAATAGAGAAAGTAGATTGTAAGAAATCTAATTATCAACAGTTTGTCTGTAGAGGTTTCATTTGTTTCAAGTGGAGTCCGGGCATTTGGAAGTGAGGAAAAATAATCGCTACTGATGACACTAGCTAGTGCCAGTCGCGCTGAAATCACGAATTGATAAAAGTCAGAATTCCAAGGGGCTGCTGATTGTGCCGGTCGGTCCCACTGGCTGAATGGTCTACGAGATTGATTTGCAACCGAAGGCCTGGGGGTCCGAAACCTGAGGGAAGCGTACTATCGATGAGGCTGACGAAACTCGAGACTGTCCGGTATTCCAGTATTGGTTTTCAATGGTTCCTAATTAATATCACTCCGTGATCAATACTCGAAATATAATTCTACTTAAATATTTTTTTGATTATAGCTTGATACCACGCAGAACCTTTTGGTAGAAGTAGAATTTTCAGCATGTGATTTCGGTAGGCCGACCATTGATATCAGGTGTGCGTTGGCAGGAGATTGAACCCAGGACCATGTGCATTGTCGACAAGAGTCCTAACCGCTGTGCTACTGACGCACACAGTGATAATTCTATTAAAGGGAATATACACATATATTTCTTTTGCTTAGAGAACGACTGATCATAAAAAAAAGTGTTCACAGTCGTATGTGACAGCAGAAAAACTAAATACTTATCACACACACACATACTACTGTTGTTTCAAGATTTAACCCATCAGTATACCCAAATGCTACTTCATATCACTAAAGGAAAATCTCTGTCAAACAATTAACAAATCTTAATATATTAAGGGTTCACAAGAAGCATCAAGTCTAGGTCCACCTATATTTATCCAATGATTCCATCAACTACACTGGATGTACTCCTGACTAACATACTTATTGGAAAACAATCCATTGATGATAAATCCCATCGCAGAAAGCCGAACTACTTCTTCAACCTACCATTAAGTCTAATCAGGTATTTATGCTAGGCGGTATGGTAGACTAATCGATTTGACTGACTGACTGGTTTTAACACAGAACTTCTCACAGATGTGTTGTAGTTCCAATTGTCACATTCCATGTAGCATACACACAAGGGAGATAGAAAGAGGACCAACATGGAAAAAACATCGATAGGAGAGATCGTAAAGAGTGAATACGTCTGCATCATTGAGAACGCCTCTGACGCATATCACTACTAACCTTAAGTCATTGTTTCTACACAACTTCGACGACCTTAATCAGGTAGCCTACATTCTTCCTAAGTGGCTGGCTGGCTGACTAGCTGGCTTAAACCAGCAGATAAAGATATACATGGATTGATTCCACGTTTTCCAACTAATCCAGTGTTGTTACAAATTTGATCACGGATCGGTATCAGTTAGAGAATCATTGAAAACCAGTATGGAGTACAGGACAGCTGTTTCATCCTAGTTTTTAGGAACCATCGGCAGTATGCACTCAGCACAGGGAGTTCTAACCCAGGACCTTCCGGTTACAAGGTCCAACCAGTCATGTGTGTGTGTGTGTGTGTAAGAATGGATTTCCCCCAATGACACTGGTTGGTGGTCGCGCTAAATCCCGAATTGGTAGAAGTCAGAATTCATAATAATGTTGTCATCCAAATTAAACTAGAGAGATAGAGAACACTATCAAAGACAGTTAGTCTTTTCATATCTTTCACTTTCAATGAGTATGTCTCACAGAGATAAATAAAAAAAAAAGATAGAGTGAAGTGCTGCGGCACAGTACATATGAAGGGATAGGTACAGAGCATTGAATCGATTATATATAACACTGGACAATTATGAAGTGGAACATTTTACGAATGAGTTAATACAGTCATGATTAATGATAGGAATCAGATTAAAATAGTAACCATCTTGTAATCAAATGACTGTAAAATTTCATTATCTATTTTTCTTTACCATAGCCTTAGGCTAATCGCCTATCCAATTAGAAAAATCTACTTTCCACCGCCCTAGACAGATTTTAATATCCTAAGAAATAAAGTTGTATTGTAACAGTCGCAGGCCAGTCTGTCTCTCTATCTACTTTCGACATAGAACTTTGCACCGATGTGCAGCAGTTCAAGTCACCACACTTCCTCCTTGTGGCACACAAAGCAGGAGAAAAAAAAATGCATAGTAGAGACAGTAAACAGAGAGGCGACGCCAAAAGAATAGTACTATCGAAGAACAATATAGTTTTATTGGAAATTATAAGTCACAAGGAGTGGATGCATCTGTGCCAGCCATTGAGAACGACTTTGAGTCATATCACCAATTGTTTGCAACCATTGGTTTTCACCATCCCGAGGACCCCAACCAAGAAGTCACACCTTCCTACGGGGTTGGCTTAAACTAACTGTTGTGGATTTTATTGGCTGATGGGGCCATGTTTTGGTTTGACCACCATCGCTGGCTCTTTTCCAGCCTGACGCTATGGCAGCTAACATTGCCCGTCAGTCAAGGAATGCAATGACTAGGCATGCTTAACACATGTCCTAACCATCTTAGTCGATGTTATTTCACGGCCTCGTCAATTGATTTCCCCTCTTTACCTAGTACTCGACGCCTAACCTCCATACTGCTCACCTTATTACACCAGGCCAGTCTGTGTCTTTTGATATTTACATGGCTCAATGAAGTGGAAGGTAGCATAGACGAATAGACGGATTTAGCACATCAGTTAAGCAGTCCATTTCATCAGTATTTTTATACTTTCACATGCATAAATTCCACTCGTCCATATCAAATGTCGACGCAATAATATCAATTGACGAAAACCGGTTAGGACATGTGTTAGGCATGCCTAGCCATCTCATTCCTCGACGGGTAATGCTAGCTGACATAGGGTCAGGCTGGAAAAGAGCCAGTGATGGTGGTCAAACCAAAACATGGCTTCATCAGTCAATGAAATCCACAAAAATTTGTTTAAGCCAGCCATGTAGGAAGGTGTAAACTTCCTGACTGGTTGGGGGTCCTCGGGATGGTAAAAACCAATCACAGCTGGAGACAGTTGGTGATATGGCTCAAAACGGTTTTCAATGGCTGGCTAGTGCAGATGTATCCACTCCTTGAGACTTATAATACCAAATGAAACTATATTGTTCTTTGATATTACTATTCTTTTTTGCCTCATCTCTCTGTTTACTGTCTCTATTTTGCATTTCCTTTTACTTTCTTCTTCTTCTTATCTGGCTTTGTGTGCTGAGTTAAGTGTGGTGACTTGAACTTCTGCACACCGATGCAAAGTTCCCTGTTGAAACCAGACAGACAGAATTGACGATAAGCATAACAATTAATGAATACAAAAGTGTATGCAATTTACAGAGTAAACTCTAAACTCAAATCTCCATCTTTAAGAGTGAAAATAAGAGGCATTAAGTTTGCGAAGTTAGTATATCAACTGAGAATCCCCTCTACATACACACACACACACATAATTTACAATATCTTTCAAAAAAATGTGCCACTGAGAGATAAAAACAACCTACCAGCACTTTGACGATGTATACTAATTTCTTTATTCCGTGTAAATCTTGATTTATTCGGTGGATGATAGGATTTATACATTACAGGGACTGCAGATGGGTTCTCCTCCTGCTCCTCTTCCCCTGTAGGCTTTCTTGGTGTAATAGATACCAGCATAACATTATCATTATTTAATTCATATCGACGTATAATTTTATAATCATTAGAGTTTGCAGTGGGTAATTTCATCGGTGTACGATAATGACGACCACTTGTAGTTGCATAACTTTCATCTTGTGAACTTCGATAAGACTGACCTCTTGTTGTTGCTGTTGGTGTTGTTGTCTAATAAATGGTTTGGTATAAGAGCAAAATTATTATTAGAAAAAGAAGAGTTGGAGTATAGAAAAGAAACATTGAGATTAGAACTATACACATATGGGAATGTACAGTTGGTGAATAAGTCGATGAGAAGAGTTGCTCCTTGTTTTATGGAATAATCAGTGAATGATTGACCTGTTACATCTATGAAGTTTTATTCTCGCTCTCAAGCACACCAACCTATACCCTTAAATCGATTAGCTTTTCACAGAAACATAATCTGAATCTTCACTGAACATTACTATTATTGTTTCGTTTAGTTCCTAGAGGAACATAGGGCTTTATTTGCACATATCCATTGCTTTCGGTTCTCTGCCAACGTTTTCACCTGGCTCCACATCTGCCCACTTGCTTTCATATCCTCTTCATATCACCTCCTCCATGTTACTCTTGGACGACCAACTCGCTACTTCCCATTCGAGTTCCACTCGATCGATGGGCTGACGTGTGATGTCACTTGATGGTTTGTTTTCTCAGAGTATGGCCAGCCTACCCACCTCTATTTCTTCTGCATATTTGTTGCGCAACCGGTTCCTGGTTGGTTGATTCACTCCCAGAGATCCCTGTTGCTGATATCTTCTGGTCGGCCATCTGATGTTGAGTAGTATTGAGCGAAGACAGCTGTTGATTAAGATGAGTAGTTTGTTCGAAGTGCTCTTCATGACACGCCAAGTCTCTGATGCATTAAGTAGCACTGACTTCACATTGGAGTTGGAAATCCGGATCTTATTTTCGTTTTCATGCTGAGTGCTGTTAACCCCCACACAGACTTCAGAGTAATGAACTCTTGCCTTGCTTTCCCGATCCTCGCTTGTTCTTGGCTGAAGCAATGATTAATACAGGATGTTCGAAGGTTTGGAGCTACATCGATTTTCCTTTAAAGTCTTAAATATACCTCAGACAAAAACATCAAATTCATATTCATGAGTGTGAGTAGAAATGACAAATTAATTTGTTAAAGAAAGCCATGGGTATCAAAAGATCCAGTTTGTATATTTATTTAACAACTAGTGAGATTAACATTATTTTCATTTCTATGCAAATTGTGTCCCCATGTATTCCTGTGATTTTCGGAGACATTTCACACGAGAAACTTTGGCTAAACAAGAGACTATCTGATAAGGGTTAAATTTAATCTTAGACACCCAACAGGTGTAAATACACCAGTGACTTTGGAATGTTGATTCAGAGCACAAGGCAGTGAAACCAAATGAGTAACACTACATTAGTGAAAGAATAACCGTTGAATAAAGAACGTTCTTTGCTGTATCTATACGCCTCACCTTCTCCACACATGCTTTTACTTGCCGAAAAGTCAAAGACAAGATCCCACTGTCGGCAAATTAAATGTACACTCATCAATTTGTTTGTTCCTTTGGAGCTAAGTACACAGACCGTACAAGCAGGACATTGTCTAGACGTACCCATGAACACTGACACAGCATAATTGTCAAAAGAAGAACTTAGAAGAGTCAATGGCTCCATTCTTGAGCATATTATTACTTCTAGTGATGCAGCATCATCAGAGACTGCTGCTTTCGGAGTCATAGACAAAGTACGACAGAGTTGTTCGAAAGGATTTCACCTACATTTTCTTCATGCAACTGAAGCCTTACCAATCCTAATTTTTGCGTTTTTTTACCTGGCATGGCCTCAGTCCTACTTTTTCTATTTTTTCTTCCTTTCTTGTCTTCTTGTATAACTGTTTAATAAGCCCTATGTATTCCGCTTTATGTTTCCAACAACTCCTTTTTCAAAATTTTCCCCTTATCTCTTGCCAATTATTTCAAGGATTATCTATCAAACAAGTAACTAGTTTTTGATTATATAAGGTCGGGTGTGAGGACAAGTATCCGCCGAAGAATTTGGTTAGTGGCTGCGCTATATCGTGAATTGGCAGAAGTTAGAATTCATGGGCGATTGGATCTGCTCCCAGTGGCTTAATGGTCTATGAACTCGCCTTGTAAACAGAAGGTCCTGGGTTTCAACGTCGGTGAGTGCGTATTGGTGAAGGCTCCAAAACTAGGACGAAACAGCTGTCCAGTACTCCCTGGTTTTCCAACGGTTCTCTAACCAATGTCAGCTCATGATGAAATCCTGTAGCCAATCAACCAAATCCTTACAAACAATACTTAAACATGCATTCGCTTTTAATTAGTTCCTCATCATCCGCTGGCTCTACACTAATATACACTTTATGCATCAAAGCTTTATTTTACTAATCAAATGGTTATTTCAGTCAATCAGTTTCAGGTGTATAGGCGTGGGTGGGTGTGAAATTAACAAGTTAGAAATCATCAAAACATCAGTTAACTAATAGATGTTAGTAATAAAATATCGAAGTTTTGAAGGGGGAGGGTGAGAATTAATTACGGAATTAATTCGTAGGCGCTAGCAATAAGTTATCACATAAACAAGAAATTTGTAAAACAACAATTATGACTCAGAAGAATTACGTAAAATGCAAACAGGTCAATAGAATTAGCAAGAATTGTAAAACTGACACTGAGCGAAGGACTAGGTAATATTCATGATCTACTGAGTAGAAACGAATATCGACTAAACTTTTGAGAAAATACATGAACTCATCAAGTAGAAAGTTGAAAGTGTTGTCGACTGTTCCCAAAAAATCAGTCTGCCTAAGATTACATACAATTCATGGCTGATATCAACAGTGAGTGAGACTTTATTAAAACGCCTGAGAAAGGCCTTTAGAAAAAAACTTTCAACGCAGCTATAAGTTATGCTGCATATTCACTAGCCAATTAATACTTATTTCAAGAAATAAAGACAAACTGTCTTGTGTCACGTCTTTCATGTGTATTTACCAGTTTAACTGACTTATGCAGGTGTACGATCAGGCTAGGTCATCGTCGAATAGCTGAACACTTTCTATATTGGTTTGGTGAAGGTCCGAACAAAACTAACTCATTTAGTCGATACTGGACATTAGGTCAACTCTAATAAAGCTTTCTAAGTTATTTATCGTGTTTTACCCAACCTCTCACATGGTCTACAAGTACGACTTTTACATGCAGCAGAGGCAATCGGAATTCATTTGAACAAGCCAACTAGGTGTGTTCAGAGGAAATTTGTACGGTCCCTTTCTTTGCCATGTCTAACTACTTAATATGTATTAAGTTCTTAATAGCCATTTTTCCCCTTCCCGTTGTAACTATCTTTTGACTTTGTTCATTTTTACAATTCTAGATACATCTGTTAACTTGTTTGCATTTTACGTAATTCTTCTTAGTCATCACTGCTGTTTTACAAATTTCTTGACCATGTAATAACTTGCTGCTAACGCCTACGAATTAGCTAATCTTGAATTCCGTAATTAATTTTCACCCCTCCCTCCTTCAAAACTTCGATATTTTATTACTAACATCTATTAGTTAACTGATGTTTTGATGATTTTTAACTTGTTAATTTCAAACCCACCCACGCCTATACACCTGAAACTGATTGACTGAAATAACCATTTGATTAGTAAAAATAAAGCTTTGATGCATAAAGTGTATATTAGTGTAGTGGATGACGGTGGATGGCGAAGAACTAATTGTGAGTGAATGCATAGTTCTTCACTCAACCTGTTATTGTTTTTGTCGAATTTCGGATTAGTCTTATGTAATCAAAAGGGTTGACAACTTAATTACTTGATTGATGGATAATCCTTTGGAAATAGTCAACAAGAGACAGCGGGGACAAAACATTGAAAGATGAGTTGTGAAAAACAGCAAGTGAACTACATCGGGTTTATTAAGCAGTTATTCAAGAGAGAGAGAGAGAAGGAAGAAAACAAGAAAATGTAAAAAACTGGTACTGAGTCCATGGTTGTAAAAGACTCTGGGTGAAGCGCTTCTAAACACAAAATTCAGGTTTCTCCTTTAGGACTGTTAATGCTTCAGCTACATGAAGAAGATGTAGGTGAAATCCTTTCGAACGACTTGGTCGTACTTGATATATGACTCTGAAAGTAGTCTTTGATGATTCTGCATCAACAGAAGTAGTAATATGCTCGAGAACTGAGCTGTGGACTCTTCTAAGTTCTTCTTTTGACACCCATGTTGTTAAGTGTTCATGAGCACGTCCTGATAATGTCCTGCTGGTACCGTCTGTGTACTTGGTTCCAAAGGAGCAACTGAATTGGCAAATGTATAATAAAGTTACAGAGAGCTAGATCTTGTCCTTGACTTTTTGGCAAATAAGAGCATGTGTCATGTGACATTTAGAAAAGAAGGGGTCTCTCTTTTGGTGGCTCGTATTATCTTAATTACAAAAAAAACACTATTTTGATTATATAAGCACAATTTAATGCTAGTTATATACACATTGACATACCTGTGATGGACTGTACATATTCGATGCAATTCTTAATCGATTTTCAGCTGATGCATAACCCCCACTACCACCACCACCACCACCACTAAGTACACCGCTACTACTGCTGCTATATGTCGGTGAATAGGGCAATTCAGATTTCGACGGGAGAACTTGATTCATTTTCATATTTTGATTACTTACATATATGTAACTAGGATTATTTGTAGACTTTGTAGAGAGTTGACTAGTTGATATATTGTAACGTCGACCACCACCACCACCAGTTTTCATTGCAGCAGCAGTTATTATTGAAGCTGATGTCGCTAGACTAGGCGAATAATTTGATGATTTTGATAAGACAGATGATAGACTGACTGGACTCATTGAAGAGGTTATTGGATTAACTGATATCGTTTTAGGCATCTGGGATGGAGAGACTCGAGACCGCTAGAATAAATATACATTAAACAAAGAAAAACAAAGATGACGAAGGTAAAAATGCAAAAATAAATACAATGTCAGATGGCTGGAGGCACCCAAAAGGAGGTCTTGTCTGACCTAAGATTCGTGCATGTTGTTTCTATTCGCCCTCTCTTGTTAAATCAAACTACGAATAATTCATATGATCTATAATCAAGATTTGACCGAATTGTTCCAAAGTAATTGAGCTGAGATTATACAAAAATAATTTTTAAGTATGTCAAAATATAAATACTTAGTCTTTTAACACTGATTAATTTAGTCACTTTGTAACGACAGAAGATAAGGACCAGGCAACAGATCGTATTTATATATTTTCATGTACATATTATAGATTATTGTTAGCAGAAGAACACAGTCCTCCGATTGGTTGTTTCTCACGGAAAGTTAACCTTGTATCTCTTTGTGACTGTTTCTTGAATGTCAGATCATCTATATGTTAACTGTATCCGCCTACGCAAAGTCTGCTGTGGTTAGTTGTTGAATCAGTCTTTCTTCATATTTTCTCACGACCAATATTTGGGACATAAACGCTGACAAAAATTCATGTCTACCAATTTGGCTAGCAGCCTGCTTTCACCACAATTTCAATCATTTGTGTATTTATAATGAATGGGTGAGAATGTACAGTTTAGTTGATAACTTCGTCGATGAGAAAATTCTCTGTGCATGGTTTTTTCTTATCCGGACTTTCATCATTTTTTGGAATTATGTTGCTTATACTTCGTATGAACTTATACTTTCTATTTATAACTAAAAATCACTGTGAAAAAGTGTGTTCAGAAATATCTTGGATCTTCTGCTTAGGGTGTACACAGTTGAAGAAAATCCATGGAATTAAACGACCTTGTATTATCCTGCAAATATGTTCGTTCGTCCGTTCGTTCTTTCTTTGCTCAAACTGGACAGTTTTCCCGTTCTAGTCTGGGACTCTGCTGGAGTATGTATCCACAACTTTAAGACCTCCAAGTTACGAGGATAACCAACTGAGACAGAATCCAATGGTCTGTCAAGTCTAACTTTAACCAATTTGAACCCGGTACCTTTTGTTTCAAACATCAAAGAATTATCAACTAAACTTTTTATAAAACATACAAAGAAAAATTCTCCTTTTTTAATAGTAAAAACAACATTAATTACTACTTACCAATTTTCCATTATAACTTGAATGATCTTTCAATGGAGGTTTTATAGGCGGAGTATAGTCTGTGATAGTCTGTTTTGTCAGTGTCGGTGTATTATTACTATTATTTGCCGTTAGTGTATCATTACGATTACGCCAAACTTGATCAGGTGTATACCCAACACCAAGTCGTTTCGGTAGCATATCAGATGCTGTAAATTTTGAAGAAGAAGAAGAAGAAAAACAAGAAAACCAAAAATAACAGAAGATATTATTATTATCATTATTCAGTATTAAATATTATTCATCTTTTGGTTTCCCAAACGCGAGTATCAGAGGCACATCATCCCCTTTTCATTCTGCTTGGGACATAAGACAGCAAGCCTTGAGCTTTGAAGTTTCGGTAGCTGGACGAGTCCGCTAGCCTTAAACCGAACCTTCACTCTTTCGCAGGGGCTAACAACAGTCTGGGTTAGGTTTAGGAGGACACCAATCAGAAATCGAACCCCGGACCACATACATGATGCTTCCTTATTTTGAAGCAAACATTAATTAAGATATAATCAAGAAAATTTATCTACGAGGCGCAGACGAAACTAGATTGCTGATCATTGCTGAATTCAATTTTGAATACAGACTGATAAGATTTCGGATAGTTCTTGTGATTGGAAAAGAAAAGAAGAATTATAATAATAATAATAATAATAAGCCTCAGTGGGGACATCATCATTCACTGGGAAATGCAGGTCCATCCAGATGACGAGTCCCAAAATAGGACGAAGTGCGCATCCCGGATTCTACTGCCAGTTAATATCCACCAATTAAATCCTAAAGGAAGACGTAGTTTATCTCAGCAACAAAAGGACTATCAATGTGTCTATTACAGTTCAACACAACAACAAGTCAATTGATAGCCCGAACAGCTCTCACTGGTGATGTCTTTTATTACTGACGACAGCTGATATTCAAATGGAAACAGATTCCATCTAGGTTTCAGGTAGGCCATTCCTGATGAGTGTCACTAGATATGAAACCTAAGTGTCTACAGCTTCCTACTAATAGCGCCTTAAATCACTTTAGATGAATTCAGAAAGTTTCTCACCACAATGGGTCACCTACCTTGGTGATTAACTTATCACATGAATTTCATCAAGTATAGGTATTTGCAATACACATATTATGTCTTCAGAATTTATTCTGTAAAGCGAAGTTAAAACTACAGCAGCCATTCCCCACCCCCCAGTAAATGACAATCGACGGCCAATCAGACTTAAAGATGGTATAACCGAATCAAAGCCTCCAAAGCCTCAGGATGGTCGGGGGTGGGTGTCTCGCGCCGCGGGTTAGCCACCCCTCCGTACACCTCTTGAAATGCTCCCATATGACCGTGCGTCTTACATAGCCTCTCCTGAGGAAGTCCTACTCACTGCCTTCACGTGGCGGAGGTGTTTATTTCACCGAAGTGAGAGGGCAAAAGCGGATGCCCGGCGCTCTTCACCGGGTTGACTGTCCATTGGATGACAGTCTAGGGGAGATGGCTAAACCCTGATTCCAAACCTTCAACGACTGGCGTATGAAGCTCACCGGAGTTCACCGGCAGACGTATGGACAAAGGGCTTATTGGATGCCCTGGATGTCTGGCCCCATTCAAAAAGGCGTATGAACCGAACTCCGGTCACCGGCTGCCAATGGATAGTGGACTCCCTACTCCACTCCTACTGCCTTGTAGGTCACACTTGGTTGTGTAAAGGCTAGAGCTGTACTCTCAAACAAAAGGCCGAGCGATGCTGGGGACATCACTCGTACCCAATTCCCATGAAACTTCATCAACTCTCTTACAAACATTCGAGATGTTCATGAAGCCGGTTCATCCTCCCGTAGGAGATAGCCGAAGTAAAGTAAAAGTAAGTAAGTAATCAAATTACACCTTGACTACTGGAATTGATTGTTGAAGCGTGCATATATGCAGATGAGGTTTGACAAGGTAACTGGTGTTTTAGAAGGATTCAGATTTTGAGGTAGACTAATGAACACTATCAGAAATATCAAAGGATTTCAGAGTACCAGGATCAGCAGTTAAGGAACGCACCCATGACCTATTCACTTTCAATCAGACCAAGGTTGTGAAACAGGGTTAAAAAAAACACCATATTCGCAAAGAAATTTCGTAATGGGGCGGGACATTAATGCTAAACAGGATACCTTCATACTGTTTCTTTTCTTTAGAGCGAATGAACCGCGCTAATTCAATCGATCCTTTCGAGGTCATATTGATGTGCGTTAGTTCTCCTTGAATCGTTTGTTATTCTTTAACTTTGCTACTTTTTGTTTAACAAGTTTACGACTTTTGTTGTTCTTTATTTCTAACTAGTCGCTTAATTAGTAAGGTCAGTGGTAAGATCCTTCAAGGGTGGCTGTTATACTTTACCTTAATCTTTAGTAGTTAAATTCTAAGAGATGTGACCGGAAATTATCACTTCAAAAGGTACCGCCCAAAATCGAATTTAACAGAGAGAATATAAAACACAAACACTAATTGTCCAACATATAAATGAACAGTATGAAGACTAGCTATCTCAATTCCTGAAAAATGACAGTGTTTGTGAATCACTACAAATATTTATATAGTAATATTTCCCCAAATAGACAGTATTACACGGACTGTGGCGATAGTACAATTTGGAAGAAAATGCAACTCTGTAAAGTTATGAAAAGCCGCTAAACAAGGAACTCATTAATCAGTCGAGTAAATTTGTTAGCTGGATATTGCACAGTTCAACATGAGTTGTAATTACAGGTTTCTTTAGAAATTAAAATACTTTTAGATGACAAAGTGTGGTGATCTAGTAGATGCGATGAATAGAAATCAAGAAATGAAGTAAAATATAGTGGTCACCTATATACACACATACTACTGATTGGGATGAGTAGTTAATAACTACTCACATTGGCCAGTAGTGACTCCTACCTGGATATTTTATTTGCTTTTCTCCTTAACTTGCATTCCAAGTGAAATAAATGACTTCAAGATTGAAGTTTTCAGTCGCGGTAGTGGAGATGTCAGCCTAAAGCCAAATATTTTCCTCATTTCTGAACTTACTATTGAGTAACAAAATTAGACGATGTTAGGGAGTACAGAGGCTGGAAAGAGAACCCAACGTAGCCATCTGTGTAGTTGGCGAGCATTCTACTACTGAACCATAGATACATCTATTTCTTCTAGTTCTCCTGCCTCAAATCGTACTAATATGTTATGTGTCATGGATTTTGATTATACGCTAACCATCCCATAAAGAACTACAGAGACGTATGATGATTACATAAAAACTACTGATTTAGCAAGTAGTAGTGTGTACATATGAATAGAAAAGGCAATGTACACCTTCATCAATCTGAAACCAGTTTGCAAAACCTTTTGCACTCAGTCAGCATAAAGAACGAAATTCGGGTTTTCAACACAATTCTTACGTCAGTCACTTCTGCTATATATGAACCGACGCGTTACAATAAACATTTCAAACAGCCAACTGAAAACTTTTATCAACAGCTGTCTACGCTGACTCCATATTGAAGATGAAATCGATGGCGAGAAAGAATTAGCAACAAGAATATCTGGAAACGAACCAATAAAATGTGATGAAAAAAATGGAGATGGATCGAGCACACGCCACTTAGGAGACCGTCGAATGACAGCACGCATTAGCCAGGCTATCGCTCGAGTGGAACGCGAATAGGAAAAGACTAGTTGGTGGTGAGTTCGAGGATGACATGCAGGAGATCGTGTGGTGAGTAGGAGATGAGAGAGTATGGGCAATCATGTGGTCAGTTAAAGAGAAGGGCAGAAAATAGAACAAAAGAGGAGACGTGCTGTTAACGCCCTATGTTTGACTCCGAACCTAGGGGAACGATAATAATAATAATAAAGCGGTCAGAAAGTCGGGAAGCTTTCTTATTAACCTATTCAAGCTATGATTGACTGGCATCTGTCTGTTTTCGACATAGAACTTTGCAAAAATGTGCGTCAGTTCAAGTCACCACACTCCGTGTAGCACGCGAAGCAAGAGAAGAAAGTACAAGAAAAGCATAATAAAAACAGTGAGCAGAGGTGTGAGACAAAGGAATAGTAATAACGAAGGACAAAACAGTTTCATTGGAGATCATAAGTCACAAGGAGTGGATGCATCTGCGCTAGCCACTGAGAACGATTTTGAGCCATGTCACCAATTGTTTCCAACCATAGATTTTTACCGTCCCGAGGACCCCAGCCTGGAAGTCTACACCTTTCTACATGACTGGCGTAGCCGCTACCGGTAAGTTCCTCTTCAAATGTCATAAAAATTAAAAATATTAGCAATGTAAGTAGCTCTACAGGAGCGATTCAACTGATAAATACACATTATTATCTTCGTTTCATTAAGCAATTATTATCGCTATTAAAATTATCACAAATGACTAGTACTCATTATTAGAATGAATTAAGGAATGGTACAATTGACGCCGAGAAGAAAATTAAATGACAGTGATCTCTAATCAAATCTCTGGAGGTAATCAATTATTTTTATCGATTAATTTCACTGTCTTTCTTTCTCTCTTCAAATTTATTTTGTTTATCATTCCCCCTGTCAAGTTTTCATTTATTAACTATCAAAATAGGCATGCGCATCATATAGAGAAGTGTAAAGTTGTCAGATCACAACCAATTAATAGTTCAGACAGTTATTGACATCGAATAGTTTCAAATAGGAAATTGATTCAAGATACCCATTAGAAATCTTAAAAGATTTATCAGTGAACAAAGAATATTCTTCTGCTTTGGCAAACAAAACGATTCTGCAATTCAAAGATTATGTATGTGTACTAGGCGAGAAAAATAACCAACAAATTGAGAACTGCTAATGTCGGTAAGGTGTAAATTACATTTTCCATACGATTGGATTTGATTCCAAATTGTAAAAGACAAAGTAACTAGGCTAGCCACTTCAACTTGCATCTATCAATTGAACTACTCCTTTGGAGCCAGTTATATATCGCTCTTCGCTCTAGGAAGTTATATTTCATGTGCCAGGGAACACCTACCAGTGTGTGGCAAAATAAACGCGAAGGAAAAACAACATCAACAGTTCGCTATTGAACCACCACCTTGTGCAAACAGACCACAGTGGTAACACTGAAGAATCTTTTTCTAACATCTATCGGGTATCAGATAGATTGCCAGAAGCTTCTAGGTCAGAGTGCATGAACCATTGGATCGAGTCCCAGTGGCTTAATGTCTATGAGCTCGCTAGTCTTTTCCCCAGAAGATCATGGGTTTGTAGTGTACACTGAACCTTTGAACTTTTGTTTTAGCTCACTCACCCACCTTTTTGGCGCTACTCCACTTGATTTCACAGCACTTCGCTCCCTGTACCTTTTGTCGCTTACACGCTTGCTCTCTCGCTGTGCTCTTATACAAGCACCTCTTCGAGCTCGCTACTCCTAAATGTACAGATAAGTTGTAAAACTTTTTATATTATTAAATTCTGTCACATTGGTTATAAATATACTTGTGGTTACGGTCACGGTGTGAACCCTTTTTACTTCTGCTATTCACTGGTTCCTCAGTACTTGCAGGATAGTCAGAGTACTGATTAAGATGTTAGATTAAGAAGTTAGTCTTTTTGTAAGTGTGACAGCCAAACTCACCTAAGGATAAAATTTCACACCTACAGGTTCAAACCCTGTCGGTGGGTGCGTACTGCTGAAGATTTCAAAACTAGGCTCACGAAACAGCTATCCAGTACTCCCTGCAAGTTTTCAAATGGTTCTCTAACTGATGTCAGTTCATGATGAAATCCTCCAACCAATGAAACAAACGAAATCCTTACAAAACCAATAGTTAAAAAAAAAGCCTCTAGGCATTTAATACTCCAAACAGCAGAGGTCATTGCAATTTGCTTAAATCAACTGGAGCTATATGTGTACGAAAGAAATAGGTTCAGTCACGCTCGTTACCTTAACCTGCTGTTCAACTTATAAATTCACTCGTAAATTCTGTCTTACTTCCCCTAATTTCTGTGATATTTAATCAGTTTAGTGTTATATTAATGCGTATTACCTTCTCACACAGATGCTTTTGAAATGTATTCTCGTGATACTCACTACTGACCTAATGTGATTTAAAATAACATTGATGTTGTTAATAACAATAGTTCTTTAAATATTATTTTCATTAAAATGTAGAACCTGACGACGAATTTATCGGAAATTTGAATATTCTTTGGTCATTAATCTACGTCTTTTAAATTTCCAATGGGCAACTTCAATGAATTACATACTAAGCGATACGTGGATAGGTTTTACAGTCTTAAAAAAAACAGACTGAGTCACCGTGTGTTGTAAGATAGTCTCGATATGTTTGACAGTTATCGAAAAAACGTGAGATAGTAGTGTGCGTCAGTGGGTTCAGTGGTAGGACACTTGTTAAACAATCAATTAGGTCTGGGGTTCGATCCCCAGCCGACATACTAGTTTACCTCACTTATGACTGACTGGTTTCAACTTTATTTATTTATTATTTAAACCCTGGTACAATATGGCACCAAGAAAGATGCGCCACACAATAATAATAAAACAACATAAATTAAAAGTAAAAATATAAGTAGAGAACGGATAAAGAACTTCATCTGGAAGGAAAACAGTCATACTTAACAAGTTCAAACAGTATTCGTCAACTATCATCGGGAAGGGGAGAAAGAAGGAAATTACAACACGTTCGCCATTGATTACGATTCTTGGCCATATCCGATAACGTTTCGAGCCATCGATTTGAGCTATCTCTCTGACCACAACCAGGGAGTCGTGACACACCAACCGATGCTAATCTAGCACAAACATCCTTCATCCCACGACGCCATGTCATGGACTGACCACCTCTCCGCCTTTTCCATCCCGTCCCAGGGCTGGCTAGCGAACAGAGACCTGTACGGAAGCCTCTGGGGGTGACATTCACAGCACATGTCCAAGCCACCGGAGTCGGTGTTTCCAAATGACGACACTCAATGAATGGTGATCTCCACTGTGTTCAAACACACGCCACCGAACCTCAGAATTACTCACGCGATGATGCCATCGAACGCAAGACATCCTGCGGAGACAGCGATGATCGAACACGCAGAGTCGCCGCAAATCCTCCACTTGGAGGGTTACTCACTAACATCTCGAAACAACACAAATAGGCTAGGAATCCAGACAAAGGTGAAAGGCTATCGAAGGTTAAGAAGTCAAGGTTAGCATAGGTAAAATACAGGAATCTAAGTATAAAAATGAAGGTAAGGTTGGAGGGACATAAGTAGCTTGAGGTATCGTTATTACTTGAAATCATTTTTTCGAGCGTGCGGAGAGTTTCAATAACAGTTTGTTGTTTCATTTCATCTGTTGTGTGACGGCTTAGATACTACCCGGGCGCCCAGACCGAAGCAGGTGGTTTTATTGAGGTACCACCCCCGAGCCTTTGACTTGGAGTCTAATTCTCAAGGCAGCGGAGCAGCATCGGGAGCTGCATTCCCATGGTTGCTGATGACCCATATGGGTTCATACGCCATTTGATCCAATTGGATTCTGCAGCCCATTTGCCCTATGGTAACTGCTTTTAGTCTAACCACTATCCAAACAACCTTCCTGACATGGTAGGACCTGCAGGAACATGAGTTCTAGCCAGTCTAGCTTGTTGGGTCACTACGGTATTCAAGCCCGACCACCACGGCAAGGTAGCAGTTGCCGGTCGGGGATTTCAACGTAGAACTTTGCACACATACATGTACAACAGTTCAGATTGCCACACTCTACAACCCACTTAGTCGGTAGTATGCTAGGTAAAGAGCAAAGGTTAGGCATGAGGCTAGCAACTCCATCCCGTAAAAATAAAACTACTCCTACACATAGGCACCTTGTATGCACTCGAAATTGTTTTGGTTATATAAAGTAAGTACAATACGAGGTTATTATTATCGTTGTTCTCCTGTATTCCGAGCGAAACAAAGGGCGTCAACAACACATATCTACTTGATTCTATTAGCTGAGCCCACGACTGCCTATAGTCTGTCATATACTCTCCAAAAGATCCCCTCTACGTCACTCGCGGACCCCAACGTATCTCGCCGTTTCCTACTCAGGTTCCACTCGATCAATGACCTGGCTAACTCAAAATGTCATTCGACGGTCTCCTCAGAGTGAGTGTATCCTATCCAACCCTCATTTTCTTCGCTATATTTGTTGAGCAACAGATTCCTGGTTGGTTTGTTCCCGATCAGAGTTTTTTTTGTTGCAAATTCTTTCTGACCAGCGACTTGTTCTTCAATATGAAACCGGCAAAAGCAGGCCACTTTTCGTGATGCGCTCGCCAAATATCTGACCCATACAGAACTAAAACCTCGCAAAGTCTACTAACTCACTAGTTTACTAGTCGGTCGCAAGCCTGAGGAAACACATAGGGTCGAGTTTTGGGGACAACCAACCTACCACGGAAAATCAACCAACCAAACTGCTACAAAAACTTCAACTGCACACCAAAAACACCAAAAAAACTTCGAAATATATATAAAAAAGACACAATAGGAGATATATGACCCAGATGCATTAAATCAAATACTAAAACACAAGCATCAGCGAAACCCATCGCACACACACACACACATACAAGCACATACAAACTGTGAAATAGTACGCTTACTAACATTTGAATAAATAAATAAACGAATAAATAAAAGGAAGGCGTAAACACCTTACTTAATGGTGGAGGTGTATCCAGTTTATTCTTATGCAGTAGTTCTAAACAATCCTTCAATGAATCAATAACATCATCATCATCGAACATGAAGTCTTTAGCTAATTCATCTTGAAAAAATGATGTCATCTGCATTTGATCCATAAGTAATAATCTTTCTGTCAAACAAAAAATTAAAAAAAAAGATAATAAAATAAACATTTGTGTACTGTAGGGTAAACAATGTGACAAAAGTTTATTGTGAACTAGGGTGCTGGAAGGGGGGTAGCGTTGAGAGAGAGGAGAAAGAAAACAAGAAGAAAGAGAAATGACCAAGTTTATATTACATGGACGAAAGGTAGGGCGCTTCTTTATCACTCGTTTGTTTTTGGCATTATTATTTCTGATTTAGTCAACGAAAACATTTAGCCATAGTATCAAGAATATGAACTAAGGTAATGTGGAATAAATTTTTCATATACTTACTTACTTACTTACATACTTTGTCATTGATGAGGCTGGTATTACTCACCCAGTTCCCTAGGTTCATATTAGGTGGAGTGTGACTAGAACATGGAAATCAGTGGCTGCTGCAAGCCGAATGCTTACTCCATCCAGTGAGCCATTTCCCTACTAATTACATATTATTCAAGTGTTGATTTGCAGGGATTTGGTTGATTGAGCTGACATTAGTTAGAGAACCATTGGAAAACCAACTGGGAGTACTGGACAGCTGTTTCATCCTAGTTTGGGACTCTTCATCAGTACGCACCCACCAGGATTCGAACCCAGGACGAGCTCGTAATACCATTAAGCCACTGAGACACGATCCAATGGCTCATGAATTCCAACTAGTGCCAATTCACGACATAACGCGCCCCCTAGTCAATGTCTTCGGAGAGTATTTGTCCTCACACTCCACCTGCTGCACCCTTGTAACCAGAAGGTCCTGAGTTCGAATCCTGGTGGGTACGTATTGATGAAGAGTCCCAAACTAGACTGACGAAACAGATGTCTAGTACTCCCAGGTTTTCCATTGGTTGTCTAACTAATGTCAGCTCATGAAATTAGTCAGATAAGTCCCCTTGTTATTCATTCGAAATTTCCATATATCAGGTATCGGTGTTATGTTGAGTGTTGATAATAGCTTTATTCTGAAAAATGTTTAAATAATGTACTGAATTCCCAGTAAAGTTTATTACACAATATTTTTTCTCTTCTTCTAGGACCTTCAAATACACGACCTAGTTGACAGTAGATCGTGTGACACAGTTCTATCTGACCTGAAGCGCAAATCAATCCATCAAATATGACATCTCTTCTTTTTATCATTCACGCAATACACGACGACATTCGGTTGAATGCCAACCATAAGAACTTCAGCAGTATATTTTGTGAACCAAAGACACGAATCAGAGGGTTGTAAGTGTTTTAAATACTCAAGCGGGGTAAACAATACTATTCAAGATCATATTTTACCAAACTTAAACAGACTGAATGAGTAGAATAATATGCAGTATTTTGATTGGACACTAGTCAGTAACTAGTGTGACGTGTCTAGTCCTTCCTTTTTGGTGCAGACTGAATTCTATCAGTCAGTCAGGTTTACAATGTGGCCAGCATTCTATGTAGCCCGCCGTCACGGTGCACATTGATTTGCTGATATTGGATAGTTGGAGCCCGAATAACTCAAAGGTAACGTCTCTGACTGATTGCAGCGCTCACTGGGTGACGCAGGTTCGAATCTCAGAAGGGAAATGAGATCCTCCAAGGTTGCAAATACTCTTTGCTGACGTGTGCCAACTGGCACGAAACCTACATATAAGGCTTCCTGTGGCCGATTGCCTCCAACTATCCATTATATGCAGTATAACTGGTGAAGGTCTTCGGTAGTCCAGTTTCTAGGCAGGCCGCCATATAGTTGATTCGATGAACACACACTCAGTGATTAACCTCTCTCCGTCCACTTAACTTTATTACTTTTTAATACTTTCACCCTGGTCCCCCCCCTCCTATTGTGTGATGATTACATGCAAATGAATTCATTTCAATGGTCAGGCTTTTTTCCAGGTTATTTAACTTAGCAGGGTCAGTCATCCTAGGCCAAGCTAAATCCCTATGTTCCGATAATGTAACTGACCTCGATCTACCAATGTGACCTATGTAACTGACCTCACTTACAGTCATTGCATGTTATTTATGATATATCATATTGTTTTTCATCAACTGCATCTATCTATCCGACAAAGTTTATCTCGGAATGAGTTGGTTGGTTGGTTCAAATACCATCCTAATTCCAGCCTCATTAGGAATTAATTATCCACACAAAGGAATTTAGTTAGATCTAGAATAACTGCTGGTACTAAGTTAGATAAAGTAAAAAAAAAAAAACTCAAGCACTGAAATGCATTCACACAATAGGGTGGGACAGCATGAAATTATTAAAAAGGAATATAGACAGATGAGGAAAGAGGTTAATCACTGAATCGTTGATCATCGAATCAACGCCAAACACGTGTAATCGAAATGACGCAGCGGCTTTACCGGATAATATGCATGAACAAACAAAAGTTATTTTCAGTTGGTTTACGCGCGAAATTTATTCAAAATGGTTATTCAGTTCTATCGTCTAGTTTGTTACACCCCAATTACTCCCAATCTGAAATTGATACATTACAATGATGGTGTTAAAATTACATTCCTGATATGAAGCTTTTTACTAGAACAGGCAAAAAGTTAAATATAATGGTAGAGATAAGATAACAATTATATAATACTCAGAGATACGACAAATGAGGGAAAACCTTCAGTGATCAGAATAGCAATTGAGGCATGTCCAAGCAGCTAAATGCCACGGTTGTGAGCGGTCGGTCACTAGTTGCAATTCGTCAAATAAATATAGCTATATACAAACAGCAGATCCACTTATCCATCATTCATTGATGGATTAAAATTCACACACGAATATCAAGTAACTGAAAGCTATCTGACCGACCGTAGGCTGCTATCTTCATGGAGTGGTCAAGCTTCTACTCTGTGTAATGACCCTATGAACTACAGTGTTTTAAACTAATCTTCCTGTAGGTTGTAACATGCCAGAAAGGCCGTTTGAATAGGGATTAGACTAAAATAGTTGCCGTTACACTGTACTTCGGGTGTTTGTGATCGAAGTAGTACTGTTTGTGCATAGGGATGAACCGGTAGTAAGGTGTTTACCTCAGAGGACACAAATACCAGCTGTGTATCCTTTCTACAAAACAACAGAATAATTGAGTAAAGAATATCCTTTTCAATAATTTCCTCTTCTGGCTCTACAATTAAATATTGATGTTAATATAAATAGAAAATTCTAGAATTGTAGTCAATAACAATATTGCAAACAAATACAAACGCAAACTGATAAAGTGCTTGGTTCACAGAGCAACGGCAATCTGCTCGGATGAATGTCTTGATGAGGAACTTGATAATATTAGACGGTTTTGGAGTAAAAAGGGTTATGCAGAAAAGTTTATTGATAAGAATATGAATCTAATTTCGACGCAGACCAAGATATAAACAGTTCCTAAAGAGGCCTTATTCTTACAAATTCCGTTCCTCGGGGATAACATCAGCGAGATACTAACACAATGCCTTAGGAATGTGGTAAAAAGAGCATTCCCTGCTGTTGAATTACGCTGTGTCTTCAAAACCACCCCTATTTTGCTTTCGGGAGTAACAGACAAACTGCCTGATTTCGCCTCTTCCATGTGTATCTACCAGTTTAACTGCTCCTATGGAGTCAGTTACATAGGCCGAAAAATTAGGCGTGTTTCTCGTCGTAATTCCCGACATCATCCTGTGTGGTTAAGTAAAGGACAAACAAAATCTATTCGTAGCGCTATTGTATCTCATCTTGTGGATACAGAACACAAGATTGATGTCAACGAGGCGGCTTTCAAAGTCATCTACCGCATACCAACAAATCTTAACTTCGTCTTAATAATTCGTTTACTAAATATTGCTTAGGCTGGCTATTGGGATCCACATTAAGAAGCCTTATTTATGAGTGCAAAAGACATTGTCCTTACTTTGGCCATCTAGGTTCGAATGATCCTCAATTTTAGTGGAAATTTCCTTAATTTTATTTGATATTCTATTTGCTATTATATCTTTATTATTATTATTATTATTTAAGCATCTTTATTGAACTGTAATTCCATTGATCTCACTTAACCAATCGATATTATTTAAAAAGCACTAGTATTGTTATTAACGACTAATCTAGAATATTCTATGTATATAAACATGCATATATATATATATATATATATGCATATATAATTGTAGAGTCAGAAGAGGAAATTATCGAAAAGGATAATGTTTGTTCAATTATTTTATGTTTAATAGATGTCTGAATGAATATTTTGCTATATCCTTTCTAATCTGGAGAAACGGTCACCCCCGAGAATTGTACATCCCAACTTACCTTGTAATGGTTTGTACCTGGTAGTAAGGTTTCATCCGCGACAGTTTAAATGATATATATATATGACAATGTCGAAATTACTATCGTGTCATTTCATACACATTTTCAATCAAATCCAATCGTAGACGCCATTTTACTGCTATTTCCATAATGTAATTAGTTCTCAAGCGTTATTTTTTTAGAGGTTTAATTTATTTCAAGTTTTGTGACGGACTGATATCAGTTAGAGAACTACTGGTCAGTGAATTTGGCTGCATGATCCGTATGTCCAGAGTTCGATTCCTGGTGGGGTCATGAGAGCACACTCCTGGCGTGTCTCAAACTAGGACGAAACAACTGTCCAGTGCTGCTTGCCTAGTCTCCACTCATCTTTAACTGATGTCGGTTCGGGAAAAATCAGCATTTCAATTGTAGTTATTCCATATACTCAACGGAATATTTATAAGAGGAGTATCCTTCCTGATGTGTGTGTGTTAATAAAGACAAAACCTAAGTGTATGGCTTCTTATTCATTGCCCAATAACCATTCACAGTGTATTGCTGTATCAGGTTGACTAATTTGGTGGCCAATTTGAAAAACTGACTGAATGAACTCAGTTACTCATAAAGCTTAAGGTACTACAGAATTATTTGATGCACAATACAACCTAATTATCACTATTGAATTTCAAGCATTGAACTCAATACCTAGTATAGTAGAAAATTCTTACTGCC